TCGAAGGTAAGGGTCTCCTTGCGGTAGTTGGAGGGAGTGCCAAAGCAGACTGGCAAGTCGATGCGCCCGAGGGGTCGCGTGCGCTTCCCCAGCACGACGCCGTGGAAGGGTGCGGCACCACCTCGGAGCCGTGACTGATCGAGCTCTAGGAGCTCCAGGGTGTTGGCGTAGAGGATGTTGAGGCCGCTGCCTCCGTCCATCAGTACCTTGGTGAGCCAGGTGTTGCTGATGATCGGGTCGACGATGAGCGGGTACTGCCCGGGGTTTAGGACATAGTTGGGGTGGTCTTCCCGATCGAAGGTGATCGCCTCCCGAGACCAATTAAGGTACTGGGGAGTGGCTACCTCAACCGAGAAGACCTCCCGGCGTTCCCTCTTCCGTTGACGCGTCGTGAGGCACGCTGAGGGCCCACCGAAGATCATGAAGGCATTGTGCACCTCGGGGAACCCATCGTCCTTGTCGTTGTCCCCGTCGCCGATGCCCTTCTTCTTGGCATCATCGTTGGGGAGCCCGAGCTTGGCGTAGTAAAGTCGGAGCATGGTGCATTCTTCGAGGGTATGCTTCACCGGGCCCTGGTGGTAAGGGCAGGGCTTCTTGAGCATATCGTTGAATAGTCCGGGGCCCCTGGTGGGGCCTCGGAGATTCTTACGATCTACGACTGTGACTAGGTCGGCCTCGAGGGCCTCTTGCTTCCCCTGGCGCCCCTTTTTCTTTTTCTTGGAGAAACGGGAGGCCGAGGCCCCGAGGGCCTCGTCCCTCCGCTTCCCCTTTGCATCGTCGTCGGGGAAGATGGCCCCGACAGCCTCTTCGCCCGAGGCGAAGTTGGTGGCGATGTCGAGGAGCGTGGCCGCTGAGGTCGGTACGTTCTGGCCTAACTCTCGGACCAGGTCTCGGCAGGAGGTGCCGGAGAGGAAAGCCTGGACAACTTCCGAGTCGCCGACGCTGGGCAACTCGGTGCACTGCTTGGAGAAGCGTCGGATGAAGTCTCGGAGAGACTCATCCGGCTTCTGGCGACAACTCTTGAGGTCCCAGGAGTTCCCGGGGCGCACGTATGTGCCTTGGAAATTACCGACGAAGACCTTTATCAAGTCGCACCAGTTGTGGATCTGCAAGGGAGGGAGGTGCTCGAGCTAGGCTCATGCCGAGTCTGACATGAACAATGGGAGGTTACGGATGATGAGCAGGTCATCGTCCGCACCACCCAGCTGACAAGCTAGGCGGTAATCGGCCAGCCAAAGCTCAGGGTTGGTCTCACCGCTGTACTTTGTGAGGTTGGCCAGTTGCCGAAACTAGACCAGGAAGTGAGCGCTGCGGATGGCCCTGCTAAAGACTCGAGGGCCAGGTGCCCCAGGAGAAGGACTGCGGTCCTTGCCACTGTCATAGCGGCCGCCTCGGTGCAGGTGGTAGCCTCGGGCGGGCCCGTCGTTGTCGTGGCACCATCGTCTGCTGACCACATCGTGGTCGCCTTGCGCCTCGCACCAGCCGTCGAGTCGGTCGTGCACCGAGGGGTTCCTGTTGGCTATCGGTGCCTGAGCGGGCTCGGGACGAACTGAGGCCTCTCTATCCTACCGAGGCGATGCCGCGCATAGTTTCGAAGTGCCCCCACAACGTCTAGAGGCAGAGCTTTCGCCCTGCTGTACCACGGTGGTCTTGAGGAGATCTCGGAGCTCGTCGTGGACCCGTCGCCCCTCCGTGGTAGAGGGCTTGGGCATCGCTCGGACTAGCATCGCTGCTGCCGCGACGTTCTGGCTAGCGCGATTAAAGATTGGGGGTTGCTCACCCCCTTCGTCGTCGTTGATGCGGTGGTGGACGTCGTGGGCCCTCCGCCGGGCTCCTCCGCCATCACCGCGACCCCGCTGCTCCTGCTCAAGAGTGTCTCGGAGCTGCTGCAGCAGGAGTCGGTCTTGGTCGACTTTTGCCTGAAGCTCACGGAGCTGCTCTAGGTCTAGGCATCGAAGTTCCTCGGGGGCAGCGTTCTCGTTCTGCGCTGCCCGAGGCTCGACAAGCAGAGGTGTGGCGTCGCCTACCCCTTGTCGGAGCGGGGAGCGGTTGCCTGCCCCTTCACTCTCATTACTCGCCCTTGGCATCCCAAGCCCGATGTGGAAACACTCTCGAGTGGGATCGTAAGTGCCTTCGTCATCGGAGTCGGAGTAGCCGAAGCAGTAGTCACTCGCGGCCAAGAAGAGGCACATAGCTTGAGGGTTGCAAAGCCCGGAGAAGTCTGCTCCGGCCCATGCCTCGTCCTCCTCCGAGGAGTCAGTGTGGGTGTGAGCCGAGGTTATGGCAAAGAGGTCAAGGGCGAAACGTTGGTGGCGTCCTGAGGGCTCCGTGTGAGCGGAAGCGTAGGCGAAAGTGAAGGTGGCGGCGGCATTTCTCAACCCGAAGGGGTACGGGGATGGTGCCATCGCTAGGCCCTGCTCCGCCGGAGTTGGCTCCTCAGGAGGTGGCGGTGCGGAACTTGATGACGCGGTGTTGCTGCACGTCACCGGCGTCTTTCCCCTGCCCAGGCTTAAGCTAGACAGGTCCCCAACCAGGGACTCTGTACCAACAGCCGGGCATGGGATACCGGCGGAGCGCGGCGCGTCGCCTGAGCTCATGCGGTGTCGGGTGATCCCGCCGATCGTGCTCGGCGAAAGGACGAGCGCGGCGACCCGGCCGCCGCGGCTGGGTCTGCTGCGATGCGTCGTTGCCAAAAAGGGGCTCTAGATGGGAGGAGTACTAGGTCGTATTCACATCCTAGAGACATAAACTCTAGGCTCCCAAACCGGATCACCGTGTCGAGACGAGTGGGTGGGCGTGTAGGTCCGCCATCCGGAACTTGTTGGGACGATTAAGCTAACACGCAGAGCACCCCTACTCATGCGCGCATGGCCGCCGGTGTTTGGACCGACCGAGGGTCCTCAACCAACTAGTGAATTTGAATTGCGTGCCCCTAATCCCAGATGGTGATGTAAAGAGACACAAGGTTTATACTGGTTCGGGCAATTGGTGCCCTAAGTCCAGTCTGAGAGATCGATCTTGTATTCCTTGCACCTAAGTGCTTGTAGTAGGGGGTTACAAGCTGGGCGAGAGAGGGAGCTAGTCCTAGGTCTCTGTGTGGAGCGGTGTGGGCTGCTTGAGACGTTGCTCTCAGGCAGCGGGGGAGCGTGTGTGTCTGAATCTACGTGAGCCTATGCGTGAGTTTGTCTGTCTTCCTTTCTCTAGAAACGGCCCGGTCTCTCCTTTTATAGTTGAAGGGGGGACATGGGTGATACATGTGTTTGCTATGCGGCGTCTTGTGAGCCGAGGTGGCATGTCTGAGCCCTGTGGCTTACTACTGTGGCGGCACGGTCAGCGAAGCGGTCTTGTCCTTGATGCACTGGAGCAGCGCGCCGGTCACACCCGATCTTGTGCGACGTGGGAGCTCCAGTGATAGCTTGGCGCAGGGCATGGCCGACGACGTGCCGATCGCTGCGCGTTGACAGTGTAAAAAGCCGAGGCTCAGTTGGTGCCGAGGCCGAGCCATCGTGGGTGGCTCGGCGGGCACGAATCCCGAGGCTATCGAGACCCTGAAGTGGATTGTCGAGGCTTGGAGGAGCAGTTGGTCCTATACACTGATTCCGAGGCTATAGTGACCCGGACTTGACTCCCCACGCCGCGTTGTTCCGGAGCAGGAGTTAGGCAGCACAATGCGATCGGCGCGATTATGGGCACAAAGGTCGAAACATAGTGGCTTTAACCCTGCCCGATCCTGCTCTCCCGTCCCCGTCGGCTACTCCCATCAGATCAAGGCCGATGTGTGACTGACGTTGCGGGAGTGGTTGGACGCGTTAATTGGACGTGACGTTTTGTCAGAGAAGTCGGTCGAGATGGAGGCGACGAGGTTGTTGCCGAGCCGGCCTCGAGCGAAGCCGGAAAATCGGTAACCCGTCGGAGGCCTTGCGGGGCAGGGCCTCGGGCGAGAGGGCCTCGGCGAGGCGGAGATTTGGCTTTTCGTCCGAGGCCTTTGCGGCGCGGGCCTCGGGCGAATCGGAGAATCGGCCGAGGCCTCGTGGTTGTCCTTAGGCTTTGATATTTGCAAGGTCTAAGCAATCTTTTCGGTTCTTACTTAGGGTACCCCTTTTTATGGTATCCGACACGCGTACTGATACCGGGCCGGCTGGTGACGACAATTGACCTAAGCCCTTGTTTAGTTTCTAATTTTTTTTTGCCTCATAGAGTAAAAGAGAATGTTTAGACACATGCATGAAGTATTAAATACAAACGGAAAAAAACTAATTACACAGTTCTTGGCAAAATCGCGAGACGAATCTTTTAAGTCTAATTAGTCCATGAAAAGCCTTAAGTGCTACAGTAACTCACATGTGCTAATGATAGATTAATTAGCATCATTAGATTCGTATCACAGTTTTCTAATGGGTTCTGTAATTTGTTTTTTATTAGTATCAAAAACCTCCTCCCGACATCCTTCCGACCCAAAAATTTTCAGATCCCGAACCAAACACACCCTAACAGTACACTGTACTGTACACCTGCTCCTTTGACCCTTTGACTGTTCTGATGACTAGTCACCGTCTCCGCTGAGTCGCTCAACTTTTGACTTGCCAACTGACCAGGGTTCTCACGTTTTCCCATCCCATGTCCGTTCCGGCCCGGCATCCAAATTCCTAATCCGTACCCCCATCTCGCTACGCGCACCCGGGGAAACCACACGGCCGGAAAAGCGGGGAGCAGAAGAGAAAGCGCTTCCTCTCAGGCTAAAAAAAATAAATAAAAAGCGCTTCCTCTCGGCCGGTCGGCCACTTCTCACTGTCATGGTGCCGTGCCGGTGCCCTCTCCGTCTCCTCCTCTCCTCCTTTAACAAGGCACCACCAGCAGGCAGCAACACCTCTCCAAACGAACGAACAAAAAGAGGCCTCGCATTCGCACCTCGCTCCCTCGGCTCGCTCCTGTGCTTCTGCTTCCCCACCCAGTCTCCTCAGCCTCAGCCCCTCGCTTCCACGCCACCGACTGCGACTCCGATGCCGCCGCCGCCGCCGCCGCCGCCGCTCCTCGAGGCGCGGGACTACCTCGGCGCTGGCGCCACCTCGTCGTGCTGCTCGTCGTCCTGCTCCTCCGGCGGCGATGGCGCGGGACCGCACCTCGCGCTGCGGCTCGGGCTCCCGGGGTCCGACTCCCCCGGCCGCGGCGCGGAGGCGGAGCACGCCCACGTCGACGCCGCGCTCACCCTCGGTCCCGCCCCCGCGCCTCCCAGGGGAGGCGCCAAGCGCGGGTTCGCCGACTCCCTCGACCGGTCCGCGAAGCGGGACGGTGATGCTGCTGGGGGCGTCACGGGGGAGGAGAAGGGGGCAGCTGCACCCGCTGCCGGAGCTGCGCCGGCTGCCAAGTAAGTGGGTGCTGCAGTTAATTGGTTTCGGTTCGTCATATAATTTTTGCTTTTGCTGTCGGAGGATGTATGCGATTGGTAGCTCGTTGGGTCTGTAATAACAGGATTAATGATGCTTGGTTGCGGGTGGGAATTACTAGAAGTAAAGCAATTGGAACCTAAGCACAGAAACACAAGACGGAGGAGCAATTTTGCTGCTGTTTTTTAGGAGTAATTGCTTAGAGAAAAAGTCTACAGCCGCTTTTATAGCAAGCATATAACATGATATCTTACTCTTAATTAACGCTGGGTTGCCTGCACACCATTTGGACCAGCATACCTGTATAAACGGTGTGGTTCCAAGTTCTAACCGAATCCACAAGTTATAGCAACTTTCGATGGGATTGTCATAGAGGCCATAAAGAAGTTGTTTGGGATATAAGCAGCCAGATTCTGTACCATGTATGGAATACGTGGACCATCCCGGAGGTCTAGACATACTAATGTACTCAAATGAGTCTTATGATTTTGCTGAGCAACCTTTTTCATGATGTTTTTAGTGGCATGGACTTAATCTTTGAGTGTTTATGTTCTAGGGCACAAGTTGTTGGATGGCCGCCAGTTAGGAGCTACCGAAAGAATACACTAGCTGCGAGTGCCACAAAGACAAAGGGGGAAGATGAAGGTAGGAGTGAGGCGGGATGCTGTTATGTTAAGGTCAGCATGGATGGAGCCCCATACCTAAGGAAGGTGGACCTCAAGACCTATTCAAGCTATGAGGATCTCTCGCTTGGTCTGGAGAAGATGTTCAGCTGCTTCATCACTGGTAAGTTTTCTGTTAGTTTTTTCTTCCACAATTACCAATTTACTTGTTCCCCATCTGGTTATTTACTCCTGTTATTATGATGTAATGAGTTACTGTGTCACCAGTAAGTGTACAATTAGGTATAATGTTTTCTGCATAAAGTCTTGAGGAGTCAACTGACAGTTACAATGCATAGTTAATATATAATTAGTTACACTAGTTGAACAATGGCCTCTGCACTATTTTGATTATCAATCTCGGTCAACAATTTAAATTTGTTTACAGGAACTAGGTAGAATGTCCTTTCAAAAGAAAAAGAGGTGTCATTGCTTGATTGCTAACTAAGGTTCTAAAAACCTTCTTCCCTGCATATATATAGCAGAGAGAGAGAGAGAGGAGGGAAGGTGGGAGAGACTAGTAGTTTGAACTAGCTGAAAATCAGTGCCCATTCTATTTTGACTAGTCAACAGTATTTCATCATCAAATAAGTATTTTCCAGGATTATATGGAATGTCCTCTTTAAAAGAATAACGATATAAATCGAACTTGCAACTAAAGGTCTTATCCTCCTACTCTTCATAGCAAACTAATGGAAAACGACAGTAAACATTATTGTCAATCAATACCTTTAAGGAGGAGAGCAAAAAGAAATGCTGTATGTTTACCTGTGTTTCATAATTCTCTGGATCTGTTACTCTGAAATTTAAGAAGTATTGCCCATTGTGTCTGTAAAAGTATATTTGTCTACATGAAACATTTCTAGCTCCTCTTTTTGTGGGAATATTTCTGTCCGTACTTTAGGACCAAGGCCTTCCTTTGTTCTGTAAATATAGATGTTTTTCAAATAAATACACATGTCTAAACTAGTGATGTTTGCAGGCCAAAGCAGTTCACGCAAGACATCAAGAAGGGAGAGGTTTACTGATGGTTCTAGGGCTGATGCCCTTCAGGACCAAGAATATGTCCTTACTTACGAAGATAAAGATGCTGACTGGATGCTCGTTGGTGATCTGCCCTGGGAGTGAGTTCCTAACTTACTGTGGTTTGCAATATTTATCCATATGATAGTGTTCCTTTTCTGTTTATATGCAAATGATAGGGTTCTTTTTCTTGAAACTAATGGAAGTCGGTATGGTTTTGTTTGAGCAGTCTAGAGCCTAGAGTCTAGAGTAGGTGCAATTCATTAGAAAACACTTGCGTTTAAGATGTGGCAACTGAAAAATTAGGAAATGGTTCCAGTAAAGAGACTGTAATTTGATAAAATGTTTAGATCCACTTGTGTGCGAAATTGGCTATTCTATTTTTATGAACTTCTTTGGAATGTTCAGTTTTGCACTTCTTTTGGATCAGAGGATTCAGATTAGCTAATGCATGGATTTCTATGAATACACCTTTGTAGCAGAATTTTTTTCCCCTATACTCCATTCCAAATAGTTTACTTTGGCTTTGTCCTACCTCAAATTTCTAGAACTACCAAGGTTTTACAAAAATATACTAACATTTACAGGCTCATATAAATGCTTTATTGAAATGAAACTAATTTGATGTTCTAAATGTTTGTGCAGTTTTTATTTTCCTTAAAAAGTTGTCTGTGATCCCTGACATGATTTATTCGCATTTTTCTTTCTTTCTTATCGCTTAACCAGCTACTGATGTATTAGACATTTACTAGTTATTTCCAATATCCTTTTTGCAGCTTTTTCACCACAATTTGTCGGAAACTTAGAATCATGAGAGGATCTGATGCTGCTGGCATGGGTATGTGTACGCACTAGCATATGTCCATCTTTGACTGTTGAAGACTTTGTTCGATATTAAATATTATGCTGTGATTTTATTTTGTTTGGTTGCTTTTAATGTCAGTTCCTGATCACTACTATCAGTCCTTGTTGTAGTTTATAATAAACTAAATTGTGCATTTGAATATGTTCTTGTCCTGGAAACACAAAAATAGCTGTAATAATAATGTCAGGGCAGATCAAATTTCAACAAAAATGTGAAGGCCCATGGGAAAAGTGTTGGCTGAGCATGCTTCCACCAGAGAATCTGATATCACTGTTTCCTCTGGGAAAATATGTTACTAATCTTTTGGCACATTTGGTATTCTGCCAGAAACATTTCTGATCCAGATTCTCCTTGGAAATGTTTCTCTGGTGAATTAGAATCGTTTTGTGGAACTATTTGTCTAGCTGGCTGGATTCTTTGAAACTAGAACTAGAATAAAGGGAAACAATATTTTAGCCATTTCAGTCCCCTAGGCAAAAAACTGGAATCGTCAGGCTGTTTCAGCTTTTGAAGGCTGAATGGTCTTATCACCTGCTCATTTGGCAATTCTGATGTTCCTGGCCAGAATCTGAACCTTCTGATGTGCCAAAAGGGGACCATTAACCTTGAGATACCGCTAGTCAGAGTAATGCTTATTTCGTGACATAAAAAGTACTTATTTCATGGCTGACATATTTGGTTGAACACATTGTTCATTTGAATGTTTGGAAATCGGAATATAGATCTCTGACTCTGAGTGTCAACTACAGTGCACTATGCTTCTATTACTACTCATGTAGCTGTCTGCTTATGACTTGGCTGCAATTGAACATAGCCCTTATATTGCTTCGAAACTGCTAACAGTTATGACCAACTATAACTGTTTGCTGGAACCAAGTAACTTGAAACTTTTTGGAAAAGAAAAAATTGCAGCTGTTAATATATGATATTAGTGAACATTGGCTGCTCTTTCGTTTAACTGTACTTTATGGTTCACACATGCATCAGCTATTCAGCTTCAATACGATTTGTTGCTGTGTACTCAAGTACCCAATCTTCCTGCAGCTCCAAGATCAATGGAACCGATAGTTCGGAACAAATAAGGTCTTGCCCGACAGGCAGAGTCGTGAACTGAAGGACCGCGTTTACATGGCGCTGAAGGCAACGATGTTTTATGTGAAGTGCTTCGGTTAAGTCTTTTTTTTCCACATGTGCAGTGAGATCTGTCGCCTACTGTAAGACGCCCATTTTGCCCATGAGGTTGTCACGTGTTATTGTAGATGGTCGCTTTTGTCTGTGAAAGATCAAACCTGGTAGCCTACTGCTTCCTCTGTGATACTTTCATCTGTATTCTGAAGTTTGTACTTCATATCCTAGAAGTAAAAGAATGCCCATGTTGTCCAGTAAGAATTCTTCCCGTGCTGTGTCTGCAAGTCAAACTAATTATTCAGTGGATCTAGAAAGGATCTAATCACTCAGTCTGTTAATCAGCTCTGATATAGTGATATCTGACCTGATAATGGGTATTAGTGCTCTGCTGAGCATTGGGGTGATGTTACATCTACATTCCTCTGCACTTCTATGCTAGATCTGATCGGGATATTATTTCCATGGCTAACGAAGGGCAAACTGAACTAATATGTTACCACTGGGCAATATGAGTACACGATACAGAGCTGATTAACAGACTGAGTGATTAGATTCTTTGATGTTCTTCTGAGAGCCATATATCAGATATCCATCCTTCGAATTTCGAAAGAGAATGGTTTATTCCCCCCATCAAAGATGCAAGATTAGAATGAAGAGGATGGTTTATTTTCCCCCATCAATTTCCGGCAATCTTGACTAGAAGTAGGGGGAAATAGTAGATCGCACTGATCTTTGATGTTCGTCTGAAACTGTTTTATTTGCCCTGGATGATTTTTCCCATCAATCAAAGCCTAACTATCGGAACAAGTTCTCTCTCTCTCTTTTTATAACACATCCTATCCAAACAAGTTGGTGTTGGATTGCATACTCTACTTTATTACGACCCCACTGGCCATTGCCCATCCTCCAGAGTCTACAGCTTTGGTAGGAGTAGTTGGTACGAGAGAGGAAAAAAAAAGACGACTGAATCATTGAAAAGGAAATACTGAAGCGAGACCTTTGCTTCAGAGTTCAGAGACGAGAGAAGCATTGGACGACAAGGGGATGTGCCCTGCCTGGCGCTTGGCGAGATCTGGTCGGCCTCCCCGGAGCGACTGCGCGTTACCAACCATCGCAACAACTCCAGATCACCACTGTGTCACACGGCCCCAGTTTGCTGCCGCCGCTGGCCGCTGCCGCTGCCATTTCCCAACACGTCTCTGCGATGCGCACCTCGTGGGCCCTCAAGGATCCGAAGCTATTGAAACTGCTTACCTGCCTGCAAGAGAACACGACACGAGCGCTGGTTACTTGCGTTGCGTAGCAGCCATAGGAACAGTGCCGCGCTGCCACGCAACTGCAGCTCAGCTCGACTGTGAAGAAAGCTCTGTAGCACAAAACTGGCATCCTGACCTCCGTCCGTCCGTCCCCGGCCTTGTGCGGTTCTCACCAGCAGCTTCTGCCCGGGCATTAACATCGTCACGCACAATTGCACGCCTCACGCTGTCACGCGGCCTGTGCGTGGGTACGTACTGTACGTCACACAGTAACTCTGATCCGGCCGGGCGAGCCGTGCGCCGTCCTGCCGGCTCATTTAACCGGGCCTCCGTCCCGAACGCCGTCTCGATCGTCTACCCGTGTCCCGTGCCCGTCTCTCTCCGGCCCGGTGGAGCTGGCCTCCATGATTGTTCGTTCAGGACGGACGGGACCGACCCTGGGGGTCTGGGGCACCGCGGCAGCCCACAGCCTGGTGGTGGTGGCGACCGGATCACCAGGCGTACAGGCCCAAGGGGACCAAACGGCACGCCAGCACCAGCACTGACCGAGGACCACTGCGACCTCCACGACACATGGCTCGGGAGCCTCGGGCTCGGGTCGCGTCCTCGACCAGACCCAGCGTCCGCGCCGAGCTGCCTCTTTCAAGTCGCGGGAAGGAAGAAACGAGAACCAGTCGAGACGCGACGGCGACGCCACCGTGCTTTCACCGTTTCAGGAACCAGGACCGGTCGTCAGCTGACCGAGATGGGCGCGCGAGCCACGTACTCACCCAGGTAGCATAGCTTGGTCCCGTTCGGCCCGTAGAATTTTGGTTGAAACTGGCTGAAAAATACTGTTCTGGCTGAATTGTTGTGAGAGAAAAATAATGTTTCAACTGGAAAAAGAAGCCAAACAAGCCGAATATGGGTAAGCCGAACGATGCCATCAGACGCCATGAACGCCGTCGCGTCACTCACGTGCCGTGCTAGCGCCTGGGCTGCCGGCAGCTCGGCTCGCTCGATCGCGGACGCCGCGGCAACAGGGTGCGACCGGAGCACATGCGTGCGTCCGCGCGCGGGACGTGTCGATGCGAGCGCGTGTGCGTTCTGCTGCGGCGCACGAGAGCGGGGCCATCTAGCATCGCCCCCGCGCGCGATGCCGATATGCCATCGGTTCGCTGCGCGATCGACCGCGACGGAACACGGCCAGTTGCGCGCCATGACTCGCAGCGCCGCGGCCACGGACAGCCCCAGTTGCCGGGCACCCGCCAGTCACATGGCCGCGGGGCCCCGCCTTGTGCCTACGGCCGCGGCCGCCGTCCCCGTCCGCGCCCGCTGCGTGCCGTTGCCATGCCGGTGGCGGGCCCAGCGGCCGGGATTTACTTGGACTATCGTCGAAGCGAAACCGGCCTGATCCGGCCGTTTGAACGCGTTTGAAGGATATACGTTACGTCCGGTTTCGACAACAGAATAGACTTGCAGTTATGGATGTCACGCGCGCGTACATGCGCGATGCCGGGGCGTGCCCTTAAATGAACACTCAGGCATGTACTGTGACACAACACAAGTGGGAGCGACCCTTTTTACACGAACACATGAACTATGCCATCGCCATGCATCTAGGCATGGTCCCCGTGTGTGCTCGGTGTCTTGCTCCATGTCTCTTGTCTGATTGTCTCCATTGGTTCCCGTTGGAGTAAGGGCAACTGCTTATATACAGTTATAGGCCCTGTTTATTTCGGATTAAAATCCGATTCTCGGTTAGCCTGTCACATAGTGTTTGACGAACGATGGAGAAAATCACATGTTCGGTAAAAAGAGACGTAGTTAATTTTCTGTGGTGGGCGAATCGATGATCGCCGACTACGGCTGCATAAATACAACTCGATTCTTCTTCAACCCCCTTCAATTCCCCTCTGAAAAGAATCCAGCTAGAACAGTTAACTTAATTTGTATAAGCAAATGAATCTGGAATGATTCGTGGGCCTGGAATGAGCTAACACTAAGCCTGAACCTAGTTTCGCCAATGACCACAGCCACTGTGGCGGCTGACGGTGCTCTGCTGGCACCATCGGCCTACCAACATGCCGCCAACCACTGGTAGGCCACCTTCCCGCTGAGGAATCGTGGTTGAATCGAGAGAGCAGCCCTGGAGGCTTAAACCCTTCGACTCTTAACCTGATAACTCTTGTTCACCTTCTCTGACGTGTTAAGTTAAAACCTCTAATAACTATTGAAAAAAGATGTGTCAAGGAAGTGAAGTACTGAAAGGATGTACCAAAAGGGGAAAAAATGAACGCGGAACACGCAGTACGCATCACAACTTTAGTGTGTACCCTCCCTGGCTCCCCGCCTTGTTTGATGCCCCCTTCTCGATCGGGAATACCTGATGCATCCCATTCTCACCTCCAGTATGCTTGTTACATCGCGGTACTCCTACGTACGAGCCCAGGATGAGCAAGCAATCCTTTGTAGCCATTTTTTGCTCCTCCATTGGCCTGCGCGTACGGAGAACAGGGGGATCCTTTTGGCTGTCGTTCCCACCAAACGATTCTTCTCCCCCGCACCCGGCCACCCCCAGCAAGCAATAATGCAGCGGGCGATCGATGAGGTTGATGAGTGGGATCCGGAACGTGCGGCCGCTGCAGCGCGCGCGAGTTAATTGGCTATTGCCGCGCAGTGCGGCCGTACGCCCGCGCAGGCACGGATCGCTATCAGCGGGGGCAGCGTCCGGGGGGACGAGACGACGGACGGCGGAGGAGGAGCACCCACACTCCGTCCGACTCCCTCTGCCGTCCCCATCTGGTTGTAAGATTCATGAGGCAGCGAGTGACACACGCAGGCAGACGCAGGAGGCAGGCACCAATCAGCCGGCAAGAGCACAGAGCGCAGCCGAGCAGGGAAAGGGCGCAAGGCTACGGCGATCGCAGTCGCAGGCAGCTGCCCCCTGCCCTGCGCGGCTGCGCCGCAAGGACGGTACCGCACATGCCACGGGCATGCTTGCCCCATATGGTACCCTGAGCCCGGCGGCAGCCTTGCTGATCGCTTTGCTTGTCCCCTTTTGATCCCAGTAAAACGTCCCCCATGTCCCGCTTAAGCTCAACGCACTGTTCCTGTCGCTCGCTCTGCGTTTTTTTTTACTGCGCCGTTAAACGCCACCGCCGCCGTACACGTGCTGTGCTACTACCTACTTAAACGAGCCACCGCCGCGCCGGGCACAGCGGCAGCTCAGCTTGAGTGGCTGCGCGGGATCCGCTTGACAGCGCGCGCGGGCAATCAGAGCCACAGCACGACCATTCAATTCACTCGGGTCGCCTTATTGCTTGCTGCCACCTCCACGTCAACCAGCTCTGAGCTACCCCTCCCTCTGCTTCGCGTTCACGGCGATCAGCTCAGCGCGGCGGTGGCCGTGAGATGAGTCGCGCCGCGCAGACAGGAGGGGGCGGGGCCGGGGGCGGAGGGGCGGCGAGGCTCAAGGCGTCGCCGCGGGCGCTCTTCTCCTGCGGCATTTTCAGCACCTGCACGCACCGCGCGCTAAGCCCGACGGCGACGCCCAACAACAATGTGGTGCCGGGGAGTGGCGGCGGTGGCGGCTCGGGCACGCCCTGCGCCGAGGCGTCGTCCGCGTCGCCGGCCGCGGTGGAGGCGGCGGCGGCGGCCATGCCACCGCCTCCGCAGCGGCAGCACCAGCGAGCGCAGCAAAGGAACGTCGGGCCGTCGTCGTCGTCTTCCTCCTCCTCCTCGTCCGCGTCGCAGAGCTTCACGCAGTGGAGGCTGCCGGTGCACCATCCGCCGCACGCGTCGGCGTCGGGGTCGACATCCGCGTCCGCCAGCGGGGCGGGCGCCGGGGACGCGCTGCTGAGCGCGGAGGAGAAGTTCGCCACGGGGGAGGTGGTGGCGGCGCTGCGGACGGTGGAGCGGGAGATGGAGGCCGCCGCGAGGCCGGTCCCCGCGGGGGTGGTGGCCGGGGTGGTCGCCGCGGTGCGGGAGCCCGCCACGGCGAGGCTCGCCGCCAAGGTGCTGCTCGTCGTGCTGCTGGAGGAGGGGAACAGGGAGACGGCCGTGGAGGCCGGCGCGGCGTCGGCGGCCGTGGAGGCTGTGGCGGCGTCCGGGCCGGCGGGGGCCACGGCCGAGCGCGCGCTGGCCGCGCTCGAGCTCCTCTGCACGGCCCTCGGCGGCGCACCGGCGGTGCGGAGGGAGGCCCTCGCGGCGCCGGTGCTGGCGCGGGCGGTCGAGGGGATGGCCGGCCGCGGTCGGGAGTGCGCCATCGGCGTCCTGGCCGCCATCTACGGTGGCGGTGGCGGAGGCGCTGGCGGTGAGGACGGGGCCTCGTCCTCGCCGCCGCCGCCGGAGGTGGTGAAGGCGGTGGTGGCGGCGATGCAGGGCGAGTGCAGCGCGCGTGGACGGCGCAAGGGCGCGCAGCTGCTGCGCGCGCTGCAGGAGGGCGGCCGCCTCGGGCTCGCGTGGGACGGCGTCGGCGATCAGTGAGTGACACGCGGGCCCTGTCTACCAGCCACCCAGCCTGACGACGCCTTCGCTCTCTCGTGTGTCCTCTTTGGCTTACACGTGGGACCCTTATCGCAGTGACGAGTTCTGGCCTTCTGGGCCAATGCAATGGATTAGGTAGTTGCCGTGGGGCCTAGGCTACTGAAGCGTGGGCCCGAGTGAGGACGGAAGGGAGCAGTGACTTGGCTTTGCTTGATGATGCCCATGCAAACGGTCGTCGGTGGGGTGATTTGATTGATATGTTGTGGTCACCTTTTGTAGCCTGGGATTTGTACCATCTTTCTCGTGAAAATTTATCGCGCCACTGACGAGTCTGGCCTGGCCTATACGGCTCGTTTCCGTTGTTCGCTGAGCCTGCCAGGCGCGGTTTCGAACCCACGATTTTTACGAAAATTATACATGAATCAGTTCAAAAAAAGGTGATGAATCGGTCCAATTGTTGGCACTACACACATGTAATTTGCGTGGCTATATCTAGAAGTATAAATAATAATAAGAAGCATATGTATAGGGTAGATCGGGTGGACCCTAAGCCCATCGTCATTAAGCGCAGCCCTACTCCGTGTCTCACTGTCACCTGAGTCAATTGCCAATGATCCTTTCATAGGCTGTGTTTAGATGTCGAATTTTTTTTGCAAAATGCTACTGATAGCATTTTCGTTGTTATTTGACAATTAGTGTCCAATCATAATCTAATTAGGCTTAAAAAATTCGTCTCGTGGATTTCGTCTAAACTGTGTAATTAGTTTTATTTTTTATTTATATTTAATGCTTCATACATGCGTCCAAATATTCGATGTGATGGGGAATCTTGAAAAATTTTGCAAAATTTTCTGGAACTAAACACTACCCTAGTGGAATTTTCGGTTAGATCTAAGATAGCGGCACCAGTGGGGGCGTATGGTGGTTGTGTCAGTGAGTTGATTTGGCTGCATATTTGCATGATGAATGTCCTCCATGTTGCTCCGACCATCGTATGGATCCTCCAAGAGGACACAAATGAAGGTTGAGGCGTGGTTCGTCATCCAGATGAACACTATGTCAGGGAATGCGGGGAGGCACGTCCTCTGCGCGAGCTCCCGCTCAAAGGTGTACGCCATGTTCTGCAAGATGAATATGAGTTATTTGACCTATGGATCCAAGAACTCGTTCTCCCGCGGCAAGGGTGGCCAACCAGAGATTTGGGCGAAGACATTCACCTTGTGTGCTGGATCAGGCCAGTGTAGGCGTCAATGTGATGAGCGAGTGTGTTGACATCGATGGTGATGAGACCTCGCCCTTGAGGGCGGGATGTGTCGATCGACATCTCCTCTAACCCTGGCAACCCTAGGCCACGGTGCTAGAAGTGGCTGAAATCATTGGCGATGAAGTCCAGATTCCCAAAGTGAAAAGTCTAGCCAGACAAGAAAGTGGGAGTGGACCCGAGCTCTCTTCAACCTCCAACGGTGAACTCGAAACTCCAGAAGCGGATCCGTCCGCCCGAAGCGAGACCGTTGGCATGGCTGGTGAAAGGAGCCATCCAACACAATTTCCATAGATAAGAAGAAGACGGCTACAGTACAAGCATGTAGCCCCTATAAAAGCAAAAGTTAAATAAGTAGAGAAAACTGTACTACAATAGAAATAGAGATGATGACTTATCTATCTATATATGCCTTTAAAAAAATGCCTATCCATATGTTGGAAGGATCTTCACACAGTGCTTTACTCCTATTCTAGCGAAAATTGTACAATAAAGAATAGAGAGAACAATGTTTATCCATGTTTTGAGATGATCTTCACATAGCGCTTTGCCCAAAGTTGTTGGTTCATCTTTGATCTGTTGTAATGTAAGACATTCTCAGTGCATAGTTTCATAGCGTTGTTACCAAGATGATGAAACTTGAATGAAACACTCACTCTTAATGCAAAGTTCCATTGCAGAGTTTCATAGACATTTAATTTCATGACTCATAAATAGTCGGTAATCGTGCCAAGAGAGTTTCATCTAGATAAAGCTCATTTTCTCTCTTTTTTCTTAAATACACTACCACATCATAAAAAATATATATGTGGCAACCTATTTAATGCAAATGAAACTCACATGAAACTGCCACTGAGACTGACCTAAGACTATTTATTCCATAATTCTGAAACCACCATCAGGAGCAATGTCCTCACTCTTGTGTCTCGTCCCAACGCGCCAGTGGCAAAGGCCCTGAAGTGAGAGACCCAGCATGCAAGTAGATTCCAGATTCTGTAGAATACCGATGGCACAACACTAGACGATCAGGTGATGTGTTGGCACAACCACAAGGTGCTATCCGGTCCGCCGGTCTGGCTATCCTCTGGCTGCCAGTCTATCCAATGTCCATGCTCCATACTCCCATACTTCATGTTGGATTGTCAATATCTATCAAAAACATTGATACTCAATTAGATATCTTTAGAGTAGAGGAAAAGTTAGGGCGGCTTTGGCTGAAGCTAATTATAGGGAGTACTTGGAGAAAACCGCTCCTCAAGGAGAGGAGGAGTTGCAGGATTTAGCTCTGAAGGTGATTGATAATTCAACCAGGGGGGTTGAAATTGATATCACCCAGACGACTGAGATCGAGGACAACTCGGCTAAGGGAGCTGATGTCCGGGACACTAAGCAAAAGGGAAAAGCTGCAACTAGAGGGAGGGGACGGCCAAAGAAGAATCATAAATGAGGTTCCTATTCTGGAATGTTAGGGGGCTAGGGAAGGATAGTCGTAGAAGACAAGTTAAGGAGTTCATTGAACAACACAATCTAGGAGTGGTAGGTTTGCAAGAAACCATTAGGGACAGTTTCGATGACATAGAACTAAGGGAGTTGGTGGGTAATAGAGACTTTTCCTGGAAATGGTTACCAACCCAAGGTAGGTCTGGTGGTATCTTAATGGGGGTTGATCAATCTGTGCTGGAAATGAAGGATGCCAATATTCTCTCCTATTGTATAGCCATGACAATTAGAGACAGGAGGTCTAACTTTAGATGGGTGATGGTCACTGTCTATGGCCTAGTGAACCATGATCTTTGTAATGATTTCCTAGTTGAGATTGGGACTATTTGTGCACAATCCGTTCTTCCCATCATTGTGGGTGGTGATTTCAATTTGATTAGAGAAGAATGTTAGCCCATGGGATCACCGGCTTAGGTGAGTGAACCACTCACCGGTCTTGCCGAGCACCCACTAGCTAAGCCGACCATGAACAAGCATTGTCCGTCCCCACACACTATGGCTAGAGGTTGAAGAAGAGGGAGAACAGAGCATACACACACAGTACAAGACACCAGCGTTGGCCGAAGCCCTGTATGGGAGATGGCAAATCTGAACTCTCTTTACTGAGTTACCGTGGTAGTCTATTTATACAACTCTATCCATCTAGTCCTAGTACAGCGTACATGATGCAACAGTAACTAGATAACACAGTAGGGCTGACTCTACGCCGGCCTCTGCATGTGGCTACAGTGCTGCAGGTGAGCCGTGCGGCGCCTACACCTGCAGCGGCTACAGTATCACAGCTAGGGGCCTTTTCGGCGCCGCCTTCCCTTGCTATGTTCACACAAAGAAAACAATAGATTATTCTAACAATTCTTTCCCTAATCCTACTGCTGTCCCTTGTACCCCCTCCATGCTGATCATCTCCTTTAGCTCCGTGAGTCAAAGACGTCCGAGCGGCTTGGTGAGGACGTCCACGAGTTGTCGACCAGTTTCGACGAACTCGATGATGATCTGCCCTCCATCGACATAGTCCCTGAGGAAGTGGAACTTCACGTCGATGTATTTGTTCCGGTCGTGCTGAACCGGATTCTTCACGAGGGCGATGGCGGGCTGGTTGTCCACCATCAGTGCTGGTGGGTGAGCTTCCACACCGGTTAGCTCGCCCAGCAGCCGACGTAGCCACACAACTTGGTAAACCGTTGTGGCCACCACTACATACTCTGCCTCGCATGTAGACAACACCACCACCTTCTGTTTTAGCGACAACCATGAAATTGGAGCCGACCCGAGGAAGACAAGCACGCTAGAGGTGCTCCATCGTCCATCGATGTCCCCCACCTTGTCTGCATCGTTGAACACAGTGAGCTGCAGCCTACTCCCGCCGATCTTGGGAAAGATGATCCCTTGATCCACCGTCCCCTTGACGTAGCGTAGTAGCCGCTTCACCATAGCCCAGTGATCCTCTCTAGGATCCTCCATGAAGCGACTGACATAGCCCACGGCAAACGCAATGTCCGGCCTTGTGTGGACTAGGTAGCGCAGACCGTCGATGATGCTCCGGTAGAGTATTGCATCCACCTTCGCCATGGTGCTGGCCTTTGTTAGCTTCAACCGCTCCTCCATTGGAGTCATGCATGGCTTGCACTCACCATGCCGCTCTACTCCAACAACTTAGAGGCATACGTGCTCTAACCGAGCGTGAGTTCCTCCTTCCCCTATCTTACCTCAATGCCAAGGTAGTAGGAGAGTGCGCCGAGATCGCTCATTCGAAAACGAGCCACCATCTCGCGCTTGAAGCTGTCGATGTCCTCCGTGCGCGCGCCTATGATGATCAAGTCGTCCATATACACACCGATGATGAGCTCCTCCTTCCCCCATTGCCACGTGTAGAGCGCGTGCTCGGTTGCGCACCGTTGAAACCCAAGCTCGCCCAGCGTGGCGTCAAGCTTGGCGTTCCATGCTCGTGGGGCCTGCCGTAGCCCGTAGATCGCCTTGCGTGGTTGTAGCACCCTGTGCTCCTCTCCCTTGATGGCGAAACCTAGAGGTTGCTTGACGAAGACCATCTCCGCTAGCTCACCGTTGAGGAAGGCCGATTTAACGTCCAAGTGATGGACATGCCAGTCCTTTGCTGCTGCCAAAGCTAGTAGCAAACGGACCAACTCCATGCGCGCTACTGGCGCAAAGACCTCCTCGAAGTCTATGCCCTCGCACTAAACAAAGCCTCGGGCGATGAGGTGCGCTTTGTGCTTGATAATGG